CTCAGTCTCTTAAATAGCACCTTCTCAGAGTGGATCAACCAGTTTTGCTGCTGACAACCAAAACCAGCTGATCACATGCTCAAGAAGGACCATCAGCCTAACAATGGATCATTAGCACACTGACTGAGGAAGTCTTTCAGATGAAAGATGAAACGTTTCTACATTTTTTTTTTGTTGTATGTGTTTTTTTTAATGTCCAGAGGACCACATTGAACTTTTTTTTAGAATTTTCTACCTGGATTATTGAGCATGCATCAGGAATACTGTTAAAGCACAAAAATGGAAGAATTTGTTCTGCATTTTGTGAGTTACACTGGATTCAGAGTTTTATAAACTGCGTTAAACTTCCCTCTGGTAGTTGCTTTGTAATATTGTTTTGGTTACTCAGAAAAAAAATTGGAGGAAGCAGAAAATCCAAAATGGCCAAACATAATGCGTAAGTGTTCATGTGTTAAGCTAATTTCAAAATTAAAACAATGTTGCCTTGGACGAGATTTACCCCTAACTATGGGTTTTGATCAAAATAATAGCTGTAATTGTCTCTTGTTTTATGTCAAAATGCTATGATAATTTGTACAGTCAAATAAGTTATGAACGTGTTATTTTGTTAGCTCGCAGTAAGCATGAAACAAGCTTGTTTGCAATGTTCGCTAAAACCATGCTTTGTATGTTTCAGTTTTACCATGGTCAGTAGGACAATGGTCTGAGGCCGTTCTTCAATAAATGAGCACAAAAGAAAGAGAAATAAGTCTGTTTATTGGAGCGTCATTATCTCGCTGTGTAGCTGGTGAAAACTAGAAAATTCAGGGCAAGGACAGCACGGTAAAAGGACAACCAGCGCAGCGGGCGCAGCCACGAACAGATGCGTTCAGCACAGCATGAGCCTCCGGTCAGGAAAGCAATATAAACGAGAAGCACGAGACCAAAGAGGAACGACAAATGGACAACGGACAATTGTGGATAACGCAACATTTCTCCCCAACGCAGAGAAACGTTGAGGACTTCTGCAGTTTGACGACCACTCGGAAAACTACTGTGCATGAAATGTGTCGTTTCAAAACGCTGTTAAAGAATGGCATGTTACAGCTCAAGAAGAGCTGGATTTAATGATCAAATGGTTTTGAAGTTTAGTCTTGAGGGGTGGATGGGTGTGTCCTCCCGCAGAAATGTTTGAATTAAGTAGATGCCATTTCCTGCGTTTTAGTGTATTTTAACGGGCTGTTAAACATGTTAACCTACATAAGTAAACACTTGATTCAATAAGAGCAACTACAAGAGCTCTCTCCTGTGTGAATAGAGAAACGAGGCAAGCATCCCCCCGCCTCCCCCCGCTTCACAGTTCGAGCCCGACATTTCTCCACTGAATTCATTCTTACACGCTTTGAGTCCACGCACGTGAAACTTCCAGGTGACCCCTTCGTCTGTTCATATATGGGCTCCTGTGCGTGTACGCCTAGTCGCTCGCTCCTGCTCTAACCTTGTTTCACAAACTAAAAGCAAAAAATATTAATCTCTAAACCTAATTAAAAAAACTATAAACATATTAATCTGTAAAACTAAACCTAATGCGCACCACAGCTGGTGGTGGTGCGGGGTGGTCGCCCCCCACTGTTTTTAGTTTTGTTTTTGACGTGCCGCATGTTTCTTTCACTTTTGCAGCTTAATAATAATAACTAATAGTTTTGTTTT